TTTAGAGAATTTTATCTCCTTGTTTATAAACAAGTATTTTATTTTTATGTCCGTAAATTATTTAAATATTCGACAAAGAATAAATATAAAATTAGCTGAAAATTATTTTGCGATATCATTTATATATATAATTTTGTATTCGAGCCATGCGTGAGGCTATCATACAAAAACTTATGTCATACACAAATTTGGGGTATGCTACGTAATTCAGTTAAAGAACAACAAAGTGATTAACTCCATCGGAATTAATATGAGTTGCTCTAATCTTTTAGATTTGGTTGCTTTGGTTGTTTAAATTTCTTTTTTATTTATTATTTCATAATTTTCAGTCAAATCCTTCGTTTAGCTATAAAAGACATATGGAGAGCTCTTGCCTTCCATCGAGACTATGCAACCACATGACTTTTTGCTTATTTTATAGCCAGAGCTTAATTTTACGCCTCTTTATAGTATAATTGTTATTTACTCATCTACCTATTTATAACCGTAAAAAGCATAAGCACTTATAATTTTTCTATCATTTAGTTTTTTATATTAATTTTTTAATTACCGTAATTGTACACAGTTATAAAGTGATTTTATAGGTGATCTAAAGTAATAAACTTAAACTTATTTCTATGTGTCCTATGACTTGCTTTGATCTACTTAACGAGATATCTCATGCTTTGGTTGACCATTCTATGCTTTAAATGGTGTCATAAATCCTGGTGCTTTTTGCACCACGCCATACTTATTATTCACAATAATTCTAAATTGGACTCATTAATTATCTTTTGAGAGACCATATACATTCGGAGGCCTAGCTCCTTGTTGCAGAAGTATTTTTATATTATGCTTTTTTAGTTCCCCTTTGCAAGCTAACAAAATATCGGAATTTCAGGGTGTCTGTAGACGTCTTAGTGATAACTCGTGGGGTCCAATGTCATACCTGCTTAATTTAATTATATAACCAATTATTAGCAATAACGAGCCCTCTTTTAACGCGATTTCTATTTACCCTAGTTCGCTTGTGATCAAGGATTATTAGTAGGAAAGTACCAAGGATTATTAGTTTAGTTTTCTCACAATGATATGAGTAGGCTTCACTTTTTCATTGAATTTCACTTAGCCATGTTCTCTAGAAGGTATTTTCATCTTGGTTTGACTACAGTTTTAGACTCGTCTGGGTCTGTTCAGCAGTATGACATTTGAAAGCAAACATGCTTTTAACATAATTTCTTCGTTCTCACTTAGTTTCCTTATGATTTTGTTTATTCTATTATTCCTATACGATATCTCTACGTACAATCTATTCTATCGTAGCATTATTTGTAATGTTTCCTCATATCTCCATATATTGAATTATGTACTTAAATTATAAAGCTTTTTATCATGCCTTTTATTAATCTGTAAAAAAATTTAAGCGTATTGCTTATCTACGATTATTTTTTGTCTAAGGAACTCTTCAGAGTTAAGAGTATTAAAAAATGATTTTCATAATCTGATTTTTCTTATTCGTCTATCTCATCGGTACTGCTCAAATAGACTTACTGTAAATTGATAGTCTCTTTTTGCTTGAAAGTGACTAATTATAGGATTACATACTATCGATTCCTATGTGAAGTAGGATATACATAAGATCTAAACAGCTTTTAACCCCGAATATAGAATAATTATTTGGATCTAGTTAAGTTACTTTAGCTATTAGAATAGAACCTCTAAATAAGTCCCTTCAAGTTTATAAAAAACATCAGTCCTCAGCATGTATAATGCGGTAATTCGTTGGTGCGCCACTACATTACATTCCACTCGTCTACTTTTATGATGCTTAATTAATGCTAACGAAAGTATGCGTATATTAGAAGGTATTAATCGAAGGTATGATGACCAAGATGGTGTGGCCTTTTGTGTGGTCGCAGTCTCCTTTCATTGTATATAGCTTATCTGATACTTCTACTGTTAGCCAACTAACTCTAGTCTCCGCCGCATCTATCATGCTGTTATCCATAGTATCAAGACTATGATTTCCTATGTCCTAATCTCTTGTGTACCTATCTATTAATGTTGTGGTTCTACTTTTTTATTAGGTTCGGTGTATATATAGGATCTACAGGTAATCTCCAAAGCTTACTTATAAACTGAAAATTGGACTAGTTTGGTTATGATTCGTTATTAATAAATCATCTCTACCAATTAATATTTAATTACCATATCTCTAAATTTTTGCTATCTTCCTTTTCAAAATCTTTTTTTTCAGATTAACTCAGCCTTCCTATCTCAATGTATCTCAACTTGGCAGGCACCGGTAAGCTCTGCCCTGCAACGTTTAACTTCCTCTCTTTCGGCGACTTCCGGCACTTCTATTCTGCGCCCCTGGCAACCGGCCACTAGCCGTATCTGCTTGCTTCATGTGGCCATATCGTCTCTGCGATGTCTCACACTCTCATTTAATTGCTCCCTACTGGCGAGTGATTCTAAAGCTATTATTCCGCTTTCAGATTCGATATATACTAACTCAGCCCTAATGGCGGCAACAAGCGCTCCTAATAAATCATATAAGGAGGATCAACAATGGGATGCAATAGATGCTCATTCTCATCTTCTAGAATGCTTGCTTTCCTGGGAGGCACAACTTACGACATCCGGTATTATCGCTGGAACGATAAGTGAAAAGGTTGTTGGCTCCGGGAAGACGGCTTTCGCTGGTTCTTTGGTCGAGTCTCTCTTTCCTAAGCATACTGACTTATTTAATATATCTTCCGGGCAAATAGACGAGGCATTGGTGAGTTAGTTCTATTTATTTATCTTATGGTTTTTTTTATCTTTGCCATTCAGATTTTGCCCATTTTATTCTCTTGTTCCTTTAATATTATATATCCTTTAATTTATATTTGCTTCTTATTACCATAAACTACTAGATTATATTAAGGTTCTTTTCTGGAGCATAAATAAAATGTTTCCATTCTAAATTTTGGCTTATTTTAATAGAAATAGTACACTGCTTCTTTGAGCTTAGCCTATACCCAAACAAACTTTTTCCGTCAATAAGATTTTAAGTTAATATATCTGATAATTTCTGCTTTCAGATATTATAGTCACCATATTTTATCTTATGATTTTTTTCAAAGCCTGATTTTTAAAATAACCACAATTCATTTCTATATATCAGCTAAGGTTTTTAATGTGCTAACTTTAAGTAATGGACTTTTACAGTGATCTTTGGTTCGTGCATCTAATTTATTGATCTGACGCATTACGTGGGGTGTGCTATCTAGTCGCTGTGGGATACGAAGAGCTTAAAAGGGCTGCATGTGGCTAGGTGAATATTTGAATTCAATAAAAGTTAAGCCATTCAAGAAGGTGGAATATCTTATAAACTCAGCTATAAAACAAAGAAATCAGTAACTAATTGGCCGCATAAGGAAGACTAAAATTAAATGAGATGAGTGCAGAATATTAGCTCTGACGTTCTTACTATTTAGCATTCTTTGCAGTACTTTAGAGTTCTATGTTAGGAATGAAGAAAGGAATATCAGCAACTGTGAATATCTATATTTTATAAAGTATGCCGTGATTTTATATGATTAAAAAATGCTACTGAAACTGCTGCATTTAGGCTATTGTGCTTTATTTGAATGGATCGCTTATTTAGCCTTTGCCTACTTTTTTAGTTTAGCTTATAGACTATAGTGCTAACGGTCTAGAGAAGAGGTAAAGATTTGATATGAGGATGACTTGGTTGAGCCACACAGGCATCGGTCTAAGGAAGATCTGAAAGCAAGAAGCTTTTCTGTTTGTATTCTATGGACCATTAAGGGGGTTCTCTTATAACAGCAGCAGATAGATAAAGAAATAACATCGACTCAGTATTTGCTTGTGCATGCACATAAGCAATAAGAGGAATGCAAACGCTTTCCGCACAAAGATGAAATTGTGTTAGAAAATTGCATAGTTCCCACAGCTCAAGTGCCTTGTTATCCGATAGATGTTCTTCTGTAGGGTGGACGGCGGTTTCGACCTCAACTCGGTCTCATCAACACGATCGATGAGAATCGAACCCAGGTGATGCAATGTACAATTTCGACATTAAAATAGCGCCACACTGGGCCACACGGTTGACGTGAATTTCAAGAATGACAATACCATTTATGAAGCCAGACTAAGTGAATTCATTGGGAACGGAAACCTACTTATATCATTCTAGGGAAATATAACCATTACTGCTTCAACACCTAATTCGACTAAGGGTAAATATTGCTTTTATTATAGATATGCTGATAGTTTCGAAAACTATTCCATCTCAAAATGTTACTAATTTGATTTATTTCTACTTCTGTATTAGTTAGAAACGCTATTTTTTTTTATTATGGCTGCTTTCCAACAAGTTAAAATTAGCAATAAAAGAGGCGTCATCCTTCAAGAAACGACTTGTTAATTTTAACATAAATTACAGGGTGCTTATCTTATTTTACCTGTTTCCAGATGGATTGTTTATCGTATACTTCATGAGGCCGAAACTTCATTTCATTCTAGATTAAACGACATTTTTGTAAGACAAGGCTTAATGAAATTCAATGGCACGTTGAGGCCTAATTATAACTATGAAACTATAATCAACAGTCTTTCATCAGCATATTCGACCTTGGGTGACCAGAACTTATTCAAGGTCTACAGACGGTGTCAAAATCTACTTATTGTGAATATTAATATTTCACCAACTAATGACGATCCTCAGTTAAATATTTCTCACTTATCCACGATATATCCTATATTCTACATTCCGGGGGTTGACTGGTTATTTGGTTATTGAAACATATTAGAAAGGGCTACTTTGCTCTGATTCATTTTTGACCTCCAAACCTGTTTCTTCAGTTATGTATTATCTCAAAGCTCTTGTAAGGGTGCCAATGCTTTTATAACCACTAACTAAACATATGATAGTCCTCTAGGTTTGAGCCTAAAAACTATGTTCTTGGTTTATTTTACTTAATAAATGATATGAATCCCTATTTAGATTATGTTTCCTACAAGCTTTCATTCTCTGCAGGGTAGCTTTATTAAATTAGCTTGATGTTTTTCTGTAGGGACCTTCCGTCCATTTTTGATTATTTTATGATTTTATCTGCCTTTTCATTTTATAGGCTTCTAGCCTTTGCTTCAGTCTGTGTGCTATATACGAACAGGTCTCGCTGCTGCTCTGCGCTCTCTTGCCACAAGTAGCCCAAACTTCCAAAACTGGTATCGTAAAAGAAAGTGATGTCTCTCGAGAATGCTCCGACTGTCACCAACACCAACTAAACCCTGAGTTACTTACGTTTCAAAGGCCTGTAGAATCTAAACCAGCTCGCAATGCTCAACCCCCTAAGGTGTCTCCCTTTGATCTACGTCCTCGACTTTTAGCTGCAGGCCTTTACTCCGAATTGCCTGAGCTAAAAAGAGGGTCTGAACTGTTTCGGACGTCAAGATATTATGAAAAACCACATGGACTACGCGCAATTGCCACTCGTTTGGCATCATATCTTGAGACGATGGTTAGCTTTAATTTTTATGTCATTCTAAGTATTCATGTTTTGTTGATTTTATCTTTAAATATTATAATGGTTACCTTGCTACTTGACCAGTAAATGATATGTCCATATATAAATAGTTC